CGGCTGTACCTTATTAATGTGTATACATTTAATCAATCATATAATTTTATTAAAAAATGGCGAGTCAGAAAATTAACGACATTATATGATTAACACTTTTTACGGACTATCACGAATACAATATCGAATTAGCAAAGTAATAATGTCTAACGAATATAGAAATAACTTTGCCATTACTTTCCTATAATATTCAGGTCACGAGGAGGTTCAAATTACAACATAATAAAACATTTTATTTCAATTTACAACAGATTCCCTGTAAATCCGTTAGGTTCCAGTGTATAACGCATTAAAAAGTAATATAACATCCGAAAAATTAAATAATTTATTATACACAGTACCCATACTCGAATGCAATCATACAATGAAAAATGTCCCTTTCTTTCTTCTCCTAATTATGATGATGTGTACCCGATGTCGTTTCCATATGGGCAGAGGAATAGAGAGAACATTCTCGAAAACCGAGAATCGATAACGGAGATTAATCAAAGGAGAAGAAAAAACATTGTCCTGCAGTAAACACTTAAAAAGATAAAAATAAATCACTTATATCACACGCGATTGGCGATTCGACGCCAAATAGATTTGTCCCGATTAAAAGTTCCTAGCCGTCGATCTTTGAACACGTAACGCCAACTATATCCACAGAGTCAATGCCTTATAATGGTACCCAATAAGAAAGGCACAACCCATCGGTCTCCGTCGAGGCTGTCTTCCTTCTCTTCTTCACCACGAACATTTTACCCAGCATGCCTGTATCCTTTCGGGCTCCTCGATCTTACAAAAAAAAACTCCTCAAGACTCGTAGTCCACGGCCTGATGCCACTCTTCATTTCCGCACGAATAGGTTCTGTCGACTCCCACTCTTTACTTCCTTCATCCATAGAATGTCAAAGCTCCCCAGTGAGGTAAACCGTGAAGTATTATCAATTGGGCGAAAGGACTGGCAACCAGGTTTAAAAAATTCCGGTTCCGTTGCAGGACGCATTTAAAAAGACGTTTACACAATTTACCAGAGACGACAAGCGATAACAGGCAACGATCAACGAACGGAGGGACTTTGTTTATCGAAGAACTCGAAGTTTGAACCGACGAGAACTGTTCCCCCGAAAGACGATTCGTTGTTTCCTTCTTTTTTTTTTTTAATGTTTTTTCGTTTTCTTAATTCGCTAGAAGCCCGGTTTCATACCGAGTTCGAATTGAGGTAGTTGCGAATGACCGGAAACCAATCACCCTGATCCTTTGTACAATTTGCTCGAACCCACGAATACGTAACGTTATTTAACGTCAAATGTTATGGCGGGCCGAGATTGAGATTTGTATTATGTACAGATTTATCGTGGGAAGGATTCTCATATACAAAACTGTTGCTCGATCGATTGATGTCGATCAAAGAAGAACAATGATCGTAAAGAGAACAGCGAGAAGAATCATCGTAACAGGACGACGTGTATATAGGGCACGTGCACGAGGAGGACTTGCGCCTATCAGTGTGCACGACGAGGAATAATCGATCTGTTTATGTGGCTTCCACGAAAAACTAGAGATTGATGTTGCTTTTACCAAGCACCTAGAGAACCACTGCTTGTCTTGCAGTCGATTAGATGTTGTTCAGGATCAGCATAAACCAACCCGAATTCATTGACAAATTCATAAAACTTGTCCAAAGATTCAAAGGCCAATTCTGCCACGACGAAATCAACCGCCAAATTTTGCCGGTAGCTAAACAGTAGAAGAAATGTATCATTAGATAAGTGTATGTAATTCGCGTGTTCGTTAGAAATTATAATAGTGATAAATAGTAATTGAACATATATGTACATATAAAACTAATTATTTTTCAGCTACGATGTCCTGTAACAGAAATCTTTATACGATTACACATGATGAAAAAAATTGTTCATTCTTCCACCCTTCTCTGCACAACGATGTATACCTGTATAAATTTGAAAAATTGACAATTTTTAAAGATGAGTAATTATGACGATGATAAACATATTTCCAGTAGATATATGGAAATATATTTCATAACTATGCGCTAATATGTTTCATTTATTCACATCTGTAAAGCGAAATAATTTATAGTTTTATGAATATTACTTAACTAACACTTCCAAGTCAACGAAATTAATTATTTTGATGGTAAAAGATATGGTTTTTAATGTGTCACTATTCTACAAGATGTTAAACATTTAGAAAAAAAAATAAAAATAATATAACATAGATCATTTTAAGGCAATATAAGAAAGAAGTTCATAAAATGTGATCTGTAAAGGGAGATGTTTACTATTAATGGTATTAATGTTCGTAAAAAAAAAAGTGCTGTGAAATACGATTTGAAGATGCTTTAACAAATATAAATGGATAATGGCTAACAAAATATTCAGTACGTACGACTTTAGCATGCACTTCAATGCATTCTTGCGTTCTCTTGAAACAAACCAATCCATTAGGAAGGCCGCCATTCTCGGAGCGACTGCGTACAGTTTGAAGAAGGCATGGAAGTTGCCCAACCACCAAGCTGAACGTACTTTCAGTGCATGTTTTATGCACTCATCGTTTTTGTCTTCCTTCGATAAAGCGGCTAAAATTGTTGTTAAATCTGCAACAAAAAGTAGAATTAATTCTCTTTTTCAGATAAATTTCAAGTATTTTTACAGATAAGATGTTCAATGTATTTAGTATCAATCATATAATATGTTTCATTTGTTCATAATACAATGTCTTTATATTATTTACGCTAAGATCAGTATGAACATTTTATTTGTAGAGATCGTAATAAGATGAGTACAGGGTGTCCCAAAAATGTCTCGCAATACAAAAATGTGGAGTAGCTGAGTTCATTCTAAGTAACTTTCTCCTTTGCGAAAATGCAACCTGCTTAATATATAATAATAATAATAAATATATATAAAATATTTTTCCTATTTCTCTAATAAACAAATCCTTTACGTCCTTTAACGCGATTATTTATTATTAAATCAGCTTTGCAAATCATTCGTTGAATTCTGTTCGGACACGGAATAAAAATCAACACCTTACATAAAAATTTCATATAGTACACATGAGGTGTCATACACACCAGAAAATTAAAACGGCTGTCACGGTTAAACTACATACTATTTCGGGTCCGAAAAATTAGTAAATATCAGACGTTCTAAAGTAGGGGTGAACAGCGTTTTTCTTAAAAATATCACTTTTACGTAGTAAAAAAAAAATCCGGGAAGTTCACGCTTCGTGACTTGTTCAATACTTCGAACGCGGCTCGAGTCCGTCCCGACCTTCTGTCAAAGCCTCGTGCTGCGGGGTCTCGAACTTCGTGCCGTCACCTCTCATTGGTCAGTGTTTTTCGTTAATAACTCGTAAACAAAGCCGCAGATTGCATTTTCGCAAAGGAAAAAATTACTTAGAATGACCTCAGCTACCCCACATTTCCGTATTGCGAGACATTTTTGGGACATCCTGTATGTTTCGCATCTCATCTGAAAGATTTTTGAACGTTCCTTGCCTTGGGAATTTTTTGTGAAAATATAATACAGTATTCGGTATGCGATGAATTCACACCGATTTTCTCCGCCAACATCTTGATACAGCATCCTTAGCTGTGTCTGGCACTGATTGAACTCTTCATGATCGCCTTTTTCTAGAGCTACACGGGCATGCGTCTCATACACATGGACTGTAAATGCATCTCTGATACCTTGGACGGTAAGATCTTGCCGAATGGATTTAAGTTGATCACAAGCATATCTATAGTCTTGTTCAGCCACCCAACGTTTCTTGACATGTGCCAAAGAATTTTGAAGTACACTTACCGGACGTACAGCGGAGGGAGCTGGAGCCTGTAATAGATAAATAATAAATATTGAATATGTCATTCAAATAGGTAATCTCGTTAATGAAACAGAATCTTACAGATGTCAGCCGCAAATACGGTTTTTCTATATCCTTGCATGTGCCAACAATGTGAAGACCAGTTAAGTCAAACTCTGCCGAGGAATCATCTTTAACACCGTTGCTGACGGTCCTGGAAATACTGTCGTTGAATCTTGCAGCGCGTTGTTGCAGTTTCTCCTTGGATCCTAGTTCCTCGGTGTTTCCTGTAGCTAAACCAAACTCTGAATAGAAATGTGATTTCATCTGTTTAGTCTTCTTTGTTTTCTTGCTGCTGTGATTTTGTTTGCTTTTAGTAGATTTTTTCGTCTTTAACGACTTGTAATCGTGATCGCTAACGTTGGACGACGACGACGTGCTACGCCTGTACTTTCGAGATGGTGGGCTACGTGTGTTGGAACGCGATCTCGACTTCGATCTGGACCTCGACCTTGATCTTGACTTCGATCTGGATCTTGATCTAGATCTAGTCCGCGACCTTGATCTCGACCGTTTGTGACTCACAGAGAGACGCGCACCAAGCCGAGCCCCAAGAGAAGTAGAGAGGCCTGGCTTGCGCAAGCCTCCCTGTGCAGTGATCAGCGGATTCGCCAAATTGTTCAACTTTAACGCCGGTTTCTGAGGTTTGATCGTCATTGTCATGCGTTCGCTGTGGATGCTAGGTAAAGGTTCTTGGTCCCAATCCTTCACCCATAGCGAGCCATCGTTCGCAGCGCGTGTAATCTTTCCCTTTAATATAATCTCGACTTGATCCTTATCCACGGCCGTTTTGCACTTTTCGTAGCATCTGTTCACGTAGTTCTTCAAGCTGTCAGGCCAGTCTCCGACAGGGCTGGGAGTTGTCACGACGGAGGGAGTACCTACCGCTGGAGTACCAGCACTAGGAGTTGTGTTAACAGTGGTAGTAGCAGGTTTAGAAGGAGCAGGGGATTCTTCAGTCGGTGGAGGAGGAGCTGCTACCTCACGCTGTGCAGGGGGTAGGGGTGGTAGTTCTGTCTTCAAATTGGGACCCGGTACAAAAGTAGTGGTGGGACTGTTCGCCTGAAAGCTATTGTTGAATTGTGCTGCTAAGTTTTTGTTCCGCTTACGTTTTTTCTTTGCAGCCCCACTATTGCTGGACGGAGTAAAGGGCATACCGTTCTTCTTGTTTTGTAAGTTGAAACGAATTTGATTGTTGTATTCTAAAACCAAGCACATGCATTGTTAAACATCTTTTGAAGTAATAAGATTATTCTTTTACATATTGGAGAAGACTTACGAGACATGTCACTGTGCATTCCATTCCAGTTTCCATAAGGAAAGGAGTTGTACATGTATCCTGGATGAGGCTGCATAGTCTGTTGCACTTGATTATTGTGTTGTTGTGATTGTGGAACAGATGGAGGTGGCCCAGGTGGTAGAGGAGGAAGATCCGATTCATCCTCTAGAGACATTGGTGTCCCAGGTACAGGAGGCTGTTGATGAAGTTGTTTTCCTTGATTGTTGCCCTGTTGTTGCTGCTGCTGTTGCTGTGGCTGCTGCTGCTGTTGTTGTTGCTGTTGTTGATGCTGCTGCTGTTGCATCTGCTGTGGATTAAAAGGTTGTCCATATCCAGGCATCATTGTATGATAGTAATTAAATATTTGCCCTTGATGAGGTACACCTTGGTATCCAGGTCCATACAATTGTCTGCAACAAAGAATACATAGTGTTCGGAAATATGGTAAAGTTTAAAGGAGAACAATGGTGTGAGAATCAACTATCAGTATTTTTCAAGACAAATTTTTGAAAATATATGTTTTTATAGCATTTTTTACGGTGAATTTAAATTCGTAAAAATTTATTTTGTAAACAAATCTTTTGCATAACGAGAAAAAAATTGTTTTTTAAATTATCATAGCGCGAAATCCATGCCCTTATTTTTTCAATATAGGATACATATACAAATGAAAGCTTATACAGCATAATGTGGCGTAAGTGTCCGAAAGATTTATATATAAGTATTTGCGTTCTATATCTTGCTTTGAAATTAGGTCAGCTGTTGAATTTTTTTTAATTCATCAATCAATTTCTCGATATAGATCATACACCTACGGCTATAATTTATTTATTATAAGTTATTCCTGAATTTCAATAAGCAAGACTTGAAAGCAAATACAAAATCAATCTAGAACTTTTCTTTGTGTAACGTTCCCTGTAACTACGTTGTAACCAATCGACATGTCTACGTCTGACTCATTCCGCCCATTGTATAACGAGCGAGAGTATTAGTATGGAAAGGTATTATAAAAGAATTTTACCCTGAATATGGAGGGAACATATTGTGTAAATTGTTTGGCGAGGGATATTGCCATGCCATGTTTGCCATCAAGCCTACTCCGATTTGTGGCTGTTGTTGAAATGGCTGCTGTTTCTTCTGCGATGCTGTAGCCTCGCCCTCTGACATACCGTGGAAAAAATCAAAATTGCTTAAACAATTTTACGCTTTACGTTTCACCGTCGTAATCACTGTGTGTATTACCACGAATCAGTCCAAGCAGAAGGCGTTTTTTTTAAAACATATTCACGTATGAAACAGTATTTTATTGAACTGTAATGCGTTGAACACGTAACGACAAAAGCTTCTCTCGACAAGATAAAATGGAGTCGATGAATTACACTCCACTCTTTATTGTTAGGCGGCAGCACTGGCCGAACCTGTCAGCTATTGACGCGCCCCCTATAACGTGACAATTTGTATTTAAATTTGATTTTGGTTAGTCAGATACTAGTCAGTAAAGCAATTAGTGAGGTACACGTTCACTAAAAGTACAGAAAAGGCAAAGACAGTTCTGTAGAAAGAGCGAAAGAACGCAAAAATAAAGAAGGAAAAAGAGATTTTTTTGATCTGACACATTACAAACTTTGTTATCAAATCATTTCCCGCAGAACTGCCACTATTTCCGGAAGTGAAAGACTGCAGTAGTTTTAGTGCAACTGTATTTTCTATTTTTGTCGCTAAATTGATATTATTTGTACATATTTATTCTAGATAATATTATTACGTACAATAGATTCAATGTCAATTATTATTTTACTTCTATATGTATCAAACATTGTTATTTAACTTTTTACGCGCTTTGGACGTACATGTACATTCAACGTAGAATAAATAGGACTATTAATAAATATTATTACTAGTTTGAAGAATATGATTTATTAACAGATTGGATTCGAATTAATTTCTAATTTTAGAAATAGATAAAGATTATTCTATACTATTTCATTTAAGAACTTAATATTTCCTCTTACTATAATTTTAAATGCTGCTTTCGTAAGTATCGAGCATTTAGTTTCCTTAGCTATTTGTATGATATTTACTAAGGACATCAGAATTTATCTCAAATAAGTATGTATACAAATATTTAAATAAAAGAACAAATAATATGCAATTACGGTTGCAACGGAAGCATCTGCTTTGCGAGGGTTAAAACTACGTTGAAGTACTGCTGGAACAAATTGCTATATGTACCTAGTTCTTTAACGGTATTTTCAAGAAAACGCCACTAGTGCCCCCGTAAGGTTTCTTCTTGTACTAGTATTTGAATAAGTATGTACGGTTCAAAGAATACTCTGAGTAAGAAGTTGTACAGATTTCAGAAGTTAATGCATTCGTTTCTAATGGAACACTTCGGAACAGAATTAGTGATTTTTATGTAAGCAACGATGAATAGATAAGTAGCCTATTTATTATTTATGTACATACATTGAATTATGTATTGTAATGTACTTCTAAAACTGGCAAAAGTGTAATAATTCTTTCGCACATCGAGCAAATATAAAATAAATTTTGTGTTACATACAAATTTGTGCAAAGTGTCAGTAGATAACCCTGTTGTTTGCATTGTTTACATTATTAAGTACATGTCTCATTAAAAGATGATTCTGCGATTGTAGGAAAAGATTTTTATCGTTTGATGATCTAGGGTGATTTCAATATTGATTTTGGTTTTTGGAACAGTTACGAAGAATCTGTATTTGGAATAATTCTTATAGGGAACCAAAATTTGCTACTGTTATCTATTTCGGTTTCTAATTTGATTCTCGTATTGGTACTTTTACTATTTCTTCCGGTTCTATGGGTTCGGAAGACGGATTCTTTTAACGATTTTTTCACAATTGGTATCATTAGTTATTACACCTGCGGATTACGATATGTGCGCATTTTTCACAAAATTATTGATTTCTAATAAAACGATGAAATAAATGAAACAACTATTTTGCATACTATTCAGGATAAGAACTTAATAAATAAAAGTTTCGGTTTCTTCTTTTTAACTTCTACTTCATTTTACATTGTAGTTAATATAAAAAATGAAATATAAAAATATACCGAAACCTTGAATTGCCGAACCTTCTATGTCTGAACTAATCATTGTCAAAATATGTTCACATAAATAAATTGGCCTAAAGCAATCTCTACATACAAAGCTATTTATTATATCAATCAATAAATATTTAATCTAATACTTTATGCTTTCTCAATTAACTTGGATAAAAGTTCAACTGTACAATATAATAGTCTTAATAATACATATTAAAATTCGTTAAATGTTCTCATCTGCATCTTTGTGT